AAATATATAAAGTACTCTTACAACTAAAAAAAAGGAAGACAAACAATCCAATTAAAAATTGGGCAGAACACTTGAATAGACATTTCTCTGAAAAGGACTTACAAAAAAGGCCAAGAGACATATGAAAAAAATAATCAAAGTCACTATTTATCAGAGGAATGCAAATTACAAACACAATAAGATATCACCTCATACCTGCTAGAATGGCTAAATGGCTATCATAAAAAAATCAACAAGTGCTCACAAGGATGCAGAGGAAAAGAGAACACTAGTCCACTGCTGTTGGGAATGCAGACTGGTGCAGCCACTATGGAAAATAGTATGGAGTTTCCTCAAAAAATTAAAAATGGAACTTCATTTGAACTAGCAACCCCACTTCTGGGAATATATCCTTAACTCCCCCAAAACACCAAGCAGAAAAAAAATCTATGAACCCCTATGTTCATAGCAAAACAATTTACAATAGCTAAGATCTGGACACAGCCCAAGTGCCCATCAGTAGATGAGTAGATAAAAAAAAGCTGTGAGACATTTACATAATGGAATACTATGCAGTTATAAAAAAAGATGGCTCTCTTACCCTTTGAGAGAGCATGGACGGTCTCGTAGACAATGCTAAGTGAAATAAGCCAATCTGAGAAAGACAAATATCACTTATTTGTGGAATCTAATGAACAAAATGAATTGACCAACAAAATAAGACCTAAAGCATGGAGGCATAGAACAGATTGACATTGATGTCGGTTTGGAGGGACAAGAAAAGATAAATCAAAGAACTTATATACTTACCAGTGGCCCAGTGCATGAAATTCATTGACTGGGGGAGGGGCGGAGTGGGGTGTCCCTCAGCCCAGACCGCACTCTCTCCAATCTAGAACCCAAGAGATGTCTGACTGCCGACAGACATCCCTCTCACAATCCGGGACTGTTGGCTCTTAACCACTCGCCTGCCTGCCTACCTGCCTGATTGCCCCTAACTGCTTCTGCCTGCCAGCCTGATTGCCTCCTAACTACTCCCCTGCTGGCCCAGTTAATGCCTAACTGCTCCCCTGCTGGCCTGGTCACCCCTAACTTCCCTCCCCTGCTACAACCCACCTTCTCCACCAGGACCAGCTTCCTCCACTATGCAGAGCCATGGGACCCCCAGGACTCATAGCACAGAGTGACCGCCTCCACCGTACCCACTGCCATCTTGTGACAGCCATATTGTGACATCACGTGAGAACCACCTAGGCTTTTATTAGTATAGATACGCATAGCCCATGCACACGGGCAATAAAGTGGTAAAACCTGGTGGGGGTGGGGGCTTAGAGCCTGGGAGGAGGGGAGTAAGAGGGGGTAGGGGAATGGGATATAAGAGGGGATCTCATTACACAAAAATCAACTGTCTTCATAGAGCTTACTTTCTTGTTCCTCACTCTACCTAGTCTCTAATAGGAATCTCATGAGAACTAGTCCACAAATGGTTGATTTCCAAAGATGTGTTTTATTTTAAAGGGACTGAATGTTATATAGTGGCAACACAGCTCCTTTAACTTTCTTCTTGCTATTCCCCAAGAAATAAAATCATTGCTGCTTTGTAAAAAACACTTTCAGTGGCAGATATATAGTAATAGAAAGCCAGGTTTAAGATAATGTTCTATTCATACTATTCTAAGACAAAGCAAAACACAACACAAAAGGCTCACTGTCATCTGAGCAAGTTTGCAAGTGACTGCTTTGATATGTGAAGTTCTTAGGATCTTCTAACCCAGCACCCTGTTTCTATAGATTAAAAGATCAGAAGCAGTAGCTAACTAGAAATGAATTTGACCCCTACCTCGATCCCTGCACCAAAATTAATTCATAAAAGATCAAATATTGAATCAAAAAATTTTAAAAGAAAACAAAGACACATTTTTAAAATATTTGAGTGGGGAAGGCCTCCCAAGGCCACTAAATAAATTTGCCTACATAAAAATAAATCTTTCCATGATAAAAGCATCTAAGAAAAAGACAAATAACAAAGACAAAAATATTTACAATGCATGTCACAAAGGGTCATTTTCCTTAATTCCCACAAATGATCAATTAAAGACCAATGAGACAGAAAACCACAGGAAACACAAATGGCTCTTAAAACAATTATAAGCTAAATTCCTAATAGGAACCATTTTTAACGTGTCAGTAGCAAAGATTAAATTTGAGATCTATTACACTGCTGAGATGAGGAAATGAGTAAGCTATTATTCATTCTTGTGGAATATATATTAGTACAACTTCTGAGAAAAATTTTGGCAGGCTTCAATAAGGTAAAAGCAGAAGAGCAGTTTCTAGCATAAACCAAGTACAGATTTTAACTGTCAGAATTAGAAAATTTTAAAATGTACGCACTTTAATCACTTCTCAGCTTTTTGGCTAAGATCAAATGTAAAATGTATGAACTTTTATTTTTATCGGTGGAAGGAAGAGGGAGAGAAACATCCATGATGAGAGAGAATCACAAATCAGCCGCCTCCCAAGTCCCCCACTGAGGATGGAGCCCACAGCCCAAACGTGTGCTGTTGACCTGAATCGAACCAGGGACCCTTCAGCTCTATCCACTGAGTCAAACCGGCCAGGGCAAAATGTACAAACTTTTAAGTATTTTTATAGGATTGTTTAAAATCATCTACAATGATACTCACAACATTAACCTTAAAACAAAATAAAACGCAAAAACCTATCTTTAGAGAACTGGTTAAGTTCCCTATATTCAATGGGATACTATGCAAATAGCTATTTAAATGAATGTGAAAGAACAATCTCTACCATGATGAGAATAAGGTGCATAACATTTATAGTAAGCTTCAATTTATGGAATATTAAAATATAGACCTATTATATTAAAGGATGTATTATTGCATTAATGGGATTGCCCTCTGGGAAAATCATGTAGCTGGGAATCAAGGTTATAAACTATCCAATACATAGCTCTTTCACATTTTATACCATTATTATTTATTCTATAAAAGGGAAAAAAGGGTCTTCATAATATACCTCTAAGTACACACTGGTCTGGGATAGAACCTCATTCTTTATTACCATTTTCAGTACTTTCCAATATAACTATTCCTCTAAGTCACCTAGTCTTGGAAATTTACTGATCTAATCTTTAGAGGGATTTGAAATTTTGATCCATCCTTACAAAATATAAAACATGTATTTTGAAACCCTGAGCGTATTTTGGAGCACCTCTTGATCAAGTCATTCTTAACTTGGAAACATTTTATATAGAGAACAGAATGAAAGCAGGCACAAAAGCTCCTCAAAAGAAAGGTAACAACAAAAAAAGGTAAGGAGGAACCTGGTAAGTCTGACTCATTAACCTATAGCTTAGAAATCATTAAGGAAATAAAGACTTTTATTGTAGCTCAATTTTAAAACTCCTAAACATTTCTTCTATTAGTGGTTTGTTTGTTTTTTAAATACTTTATAACATTCTCATTTAATCATTAAAACACTGAAGTAGGTATTAATCCCAAATTACAAATGGGGAGAAGCAAACTTAGAGGTAAAGTTCATGCAGCTAGTATTTGGTAGAACTGGGGAACTAGGATCCAGACCTAGGGATGTCTCTAAAACATACATTAGCCATTTTTTAGTATTAAATCACCTGAGAAAAAATATTTAAAATATAAAATCAGATTTCATTCTATCACCAAAATCCACATTTAAATCTGTGACCATTATGATTACTATTGGGCAATTATAGATTTAGTTCTACTTGAGTCCATTTGCTCTGATCACTATACTAATGCCTTACTTCTAATTAAAACTTTAGTATTTTATAAAATACTTACCAAATAGTAATTCCACATATAGCATGACAACCAAAGCTCCCATGGTTGGATATGAATTTTGGCTTCGTTTGAAAACTTGATAGGAAGCCAAGATTGTCAGGCTTAATTATAAAATTAACATTATTTAGCCCACAGATGGTCAGCTTTCACTAATAACTTGATAACTATTCAAAATACCTAAATTAAAACAAACTTCCTCAAATGTACATTTCTCAAAAATCTTCTTTTCCTTGTATAAATTCTAGTGAAATTCAAATTTGTTATAAATCATAATATTCATTATCAATTGCTTTCTTAGGTTACCCAGAATTCTAAAGCTTAATACCACACTAATTTTTAAAAGATTTAACTCAAAATTCACCCCGGTACTTTTACCTTGAGTAGTTGATTATCAGAAAATGTAAAACTTTTTACTAGATGTTTTAAAATTTGTTTTTAGGTATAGATTCACTGTACTAGTTCCTCTGCTTCATATTGGTAATGTTGCCTTGAAGATAAACTATTAAAAAAAATAACAACCCTGAGTTGTGGACAAATTAGCTAAGAAATGTCAAAAAAAAGACATTCATTTTGTAAACTGCATACAATTTTAAAGTTCTTTAAATTCAAGATCTGATTTTTAAAGAACACTTTGTAGATGATTTGGGTGTATCTGACTTCCTTTTAACCAAACACTTTACTAACTCAGGTATGTGTAAAAACAATGAGGCAGAAATACAAAAAAGTTGACAGGGATCCAGACGCTAAGTATTTTTAAAGTGAAAGCTAATTTAGCATATTAAGACAAAGACAACAGAAATAATATACATAATTTTATTACAAAATTTTTTAAAAAAACAAAATGCAACAGTCTAGAAAACCCAAAATTTACTATTGATACTAATTCCTATGAGTTTGCTGTGCTACCATACACAAGAAATTAAAGAAACCATTAAATATTTAGAAACATTTAACATCAGAAGCCTTAAAATCTAACTGTATGTAGTAGCCCCTCAAAAAGCTACAACCTGCATTTTTTTTATAAAAGTATTTTCTCTACAAAGAATCTTATCAGCTATACAAAAATCTGTACAGTTTTTATACTGAAGCTAATATTGAGCTGCACTTGAATTCACATTCTTAGCAAAACAATTGCCTGAGAGCACACAAACATACTCCGCACACATTACAGAAGAGCCTTTATTCTTCATCTTCATCCTCCTCTTCATCATCATCATCTTCCTCTTCCTCCTCCTCCTCCTCATCTTCTGGTTCATTTTTCTTCTTTGAGCCAGTTGGCCTGCCTGGGCCCTTCTTTCCCACTTCACTTTTGCCCTTGGCACGGTATGCAGCAATATCCTGAAATATTGTCAAGAAAAAAAAAATCAACATCCGGTGTCATTTCTCAACTAAAAACCACTACGTGTAAACAATCTAAGATTATTGACCAATAACCCTGGCAACTGTCTAAAAAATTATTTTTGACAGCATTTTTGTTCCCTCTAGGCTTTAGGAAGCTTATGATATAAAACTATGGGGGAGGCATTAGATCAATGTCAATACTTTCACTAACATCCATTTACCTCACTTAGCTCCTCCCCCCCTTCAACTTCACATTTTTTATGTTTCTACATAAAGTGCATTTGGCTCATCACTTTTTCAAACTAAGAGGCCTATATAACCACAAAGGAGTCTCTATGCAGGAACATACCAGGGCCACAACACTGATTTCAGTCAAAGGAGAGATTTCTCAATTAGTTTGTTCTGCCTAAGTTGTGCAAAGCACAGCTGACAGCTATTAATACATGATTATCTACACTTCCCAACTTTCTACCACTTACTACCTACGTCTAACATACTTTAGAAAATATCTACCTAATTTTAACCCTCGCTTTAAAAAGGGTACCTTTTCATATTTCTCCTTTAGTTTAGCCGCTTTTTGTTCATACGGTTGCTTATCTTTGGCTGATTGTTCAGACCACATTTCACCCAATTTTTTTGCAGTATCCCCAATGGATAGACCAGGGTGTTCGCTTTTGATCTTTGGGCGATGTTCAGAGCAAAACAGGAAGAAGGCAGATCTGAAAGGAAGTAACAGAGAGTTAATAATCTGAAAAACCTAGACACAATTTGAGCAATGTAAGGGAAAAAAAAAAAAAAAACAAAACTTACGGAGGCCTTTTGGGAGCATTGGGATCTTTTTTCTTTCCTTTCTTGTCACCTTTGGGGGGAACATAATTTTTCATCTCCCGGTCGTAGCGAGCTTTGTCACTCTTTGCCAGATCTTCGAACTTTGACTTTTCCTTGGCAGACATGGTCTGTGAGCATGACGAGAGCGGTTAAAACACACAGCAAAACTGTAAGCTCTACACTTCCAAAAGCCCATCTAAACGGCCCCATTTTCCCTCAGCTGACAGCATATTGCTTTACTACACTCTTAAGCAAAAACCTAAAGTCATCCGCCTAAAACTCGAAACAGAATATTCGAGCCAGTCGGCAGGCTAGCAAAGAGCTGCAAGTTACAAAGTCAATTGCCTGCTTACTGGCCTGGCCCCTCCAACACACCTGAAAACTCTCAGCCCGTACTCCCGACTCACCTTCCATCTCTCCGAGCACTTCTTGGAGAACTCGGAGAAGTTGACGGAAGAGTCCGGGTGTTTCTTCTTGTGCTCTTCCCGGCAGGTTTGCACGAAGAAGGCGTACGAGGACATCTTGCCCCGCGGCTTGTTGGGGTCTCCTTTACCCATGGTGACAGACGGCGTCCGCCTAGCCGGGCGAAAGCCGGGGGGTGGGCGCCGGCGGGAGTCGGCTTCCCGCCCAAATCCGCGCCCGCCCGCCCGCGTCCCGCCTCGCGAGAGCGGCCGCCCGAGCCCGACCGCCGCGCCGGCCCACCCGCCCCGGGGCCGCGGCGACACCGCTTCCGCGTACACGGCCCTGCGCGGCCCGGCCCCGGCCGTCCCAACCGAGTCGCCGCGAGACCGACCGGCTACGTTCCCCCCGGAGGCCGGAGACGCCGACAACGACAACGACAACGCCCGTTCCTGGCCCGGGCGCAGGAAGGGAACGCAGCGGGCGCCCTCGAAACCCCTTTCCTGACAGAAATGTCCTCCGACTTCCACCTCGCGAGCCCCACTCAAAGTTGTCTCGCGGCAGACATTTTAAAACAAAACTCCCGGAACCGAGCGCGGACAAGCTTCCCGCCCGCCCGCCCAACACTGCCCCCGGCCCTCTCAGCGGCCCGCACCCCAGGTTCCGCCGCCCCGGAGAGAAGCCCTAGAGCCACAGCGTCCAGGCCGGCTAGAAGGCTGAGGGAAGGGCACAGCGGGGAGCCCCCCCGCAGCCCAGGGGCGCAGAGAGGGGTTCTTGCCTGGTGGTAGGTCTTCCTCAGAGTCCCGCCGAGCGGCCGGGTCCGACCGAGACGCTCCCTCGCTGGGCTCCGGCGTGAACTGGTGGGTCGCTAAGCCAATCCTCAGCCTCTTGTTTTGCAGTTTCTCCGCGCCACCGCAACTTGACGAGCTGCGCCGCAGGCCACGCCCCGCCTCTGTGATTGGGCCTGGTTATTATTCAAACTCGCGGAAGCCCCGCCTCTCCCCTGCGGAGGTCTCTTATTGGCCGGAGCCTCGCCGGGCCCGCCCCCTCGTCCCCAGCCTAGCAGGTTCGGTGGGTCGCCCAGGTCGTTAACTCCCAGACCCGTTAGAACCGGTCGGGGGAGGAATGCACTGCTAGGTCCTGATTGGCGGCGGGAAGAGGGTTTGAAAAATGGCGGGCCTGACGCTGACTGGCTAAGGGCCGTAAAGTGGGGGTGGGGAGCGGTTGGCCCGAAAGGGAAAGCCCCGCCAGATTTAAAAATTCCGAGTCGCCGCCGGGCCTGAGGGTCGTTGTCGAAGGCCGGCGGCGGCGGCGGCTGCGGCGGCTGCTCGGGTTGCGGTCGCTGAGGTAATGCGCGGCCCGCCCTGCCCTTGCTCCCGCCGCTTCCCGGGTCTAGAGCGCCTCTGCCCCGTCGGGAGGATGACTGGGGGGGAGACAGAGGCGCTGGCCCCGCGGACCGAGTGCCCAGCTCCGCCCCGGGTCGCTGAGGTCGGAGGGCAGCTCCTGGCGGGGGGACCGGGGCCAGGGCGCGGGGGGTCACAAACCGATCTGAAAAGTAAGGCGGACTTTCTCTCGGAAGCTTCCTCCCTCCCTCCCTTCCCGCTCGGTCCCGGGCGTCCGAGGCCGGGAGACAAACAGGGCGCCGCCTCAGGATTCCCCAGGGGCGGGGGCGGCGGCTCTCCGCGGGCCCCACCCCGCGCTCCCGGGGTTCCGGGCGGCGGCCGCTGGGCCGGGCCGCGACCTCCCGAGCGCGGCGGGGCGAGGCGGTCCCGGTGACCTCCGCACCTCGGGCTGGCCCAGCTGTCACCTTGTCATTCCCTCTCTCGTCCCTCTAAAGTGATAGTTTTTTGTTTGTTTGTCTTTTAAGTTTTTAATATAAAAAATCCATGGTGAGAGTTCCATAAAAGCCGCAGGGATGGCCGAAACCGGTTTGGCTCAGTGGATAGAGCGTCGGTATGCGGACTGAAAGGTCCCAGGTTCGATTCCGGCCAAGGGCATGTACCTTGGTTGCGGGCACATCCCCGGTGGGGGGTTGGGGGGATCAATGTTTCTAACTCCCTCTCTGCAAAAAAATCAATAAAACATATTTTTTAAATATATTTTATTGATTTTGTACAGAGAGGAAGGGAGAGAGATACAGAGTTAGAAACATCGATGAGAGAGAGTCATCAATCAGCTGCCTCTTGCACATCCCACACTGGGGATATACCCGTAACCAAGGTACATGCCCTTGACTGGAATCGAACCCGGGACCTTTCAGTCCCCAAGCCGACGCTCTATCCATTGAGCCAAACCGGTTTCAGCAAAACATTTTTTTTTTTTAATTTTTTTTAAGCAGCACGGATGATGCTCCCCACCCCAGTCGCACATACAAACCGCTCACGGCTGCCTTTGCAGACCTCCCCCAGCCCGGGTTCGCCTCGCGTTAGAGCGGGCGCACCAAAGCGACCTTAACGTGGCGCTTTCTAGTGTCCCAAGTTTGACGGATGCTATTTCTGTATTTGTATTTCGTTTGGAAGGCTGTTTGTTTTTTTTTGTTTGTTTTTGTTTTCATATTGGCCCATATGTTGCCCCGACGGTTGGTTTTGACAGATTCTGAATTGGCTTGTTTTCTTATCAGTAAGTTTGCTGGTATTTTGAGGCCTTGTGTGCTCCAGCTGCGTTGGTAATCAGTAATCAATAGGAACTCGGAACCAGCAACTGTGAATCTAGATTTACTAAAGAAAAGTTAGGTTCTTTAAACTGTGTTTTCCCTGGAAACACGTATTAGTTGCAGAGTATGCATGTACTTACTGTTTCTGAATTTAAAAATAAACTTGAAAAATGTAATGCATTGGTGACCTGCTTATTGCTACTTAATGTAGTATGATTTAGTCGGTTTGAATTTTTGTTTTTATAGCACAATTGGAACTGACGTTATTGGAGAATTAAGTTCACTGCAGATGTAATTAAGAGGAGGTCATACTGAATCTAATACAACTGGTGTCCTTATAAATAGGGAAAATTTTAGCACAGATACAGCCGTAGAGGTAAGTGAAAAGACACAACGAAAAGGTGGCCATCTACAAGCTAAAGAGAAAGGCCTGGGATAGAGCCTTCCCTTACAACCTACAGGTGAAGCCAACCCAGCCAATTTACATTCATTCTTTACTCCATCACAGCAAAGAATAGGAAAACATTTCTATGTTTAATCTACTTTTACCGTCGATGCCAAGACTTCACTCTCATGCTGTACTTCCTGACCTAGAAATAGCATCAAGATGCACAGTGAACTAAGGTCTAAGTGTGATATAGATGGTTGTAGGTTATAGAAAACCCTTTTTAAAAATAAAAATTATATACAGAATCTGGTAGAACAAAAAACAAAATCTAATCCCAAATGAAGTTCTAAAAAGATGTATTAAATACACAAGAAGCCTAGTTCACTACTATGAATTACCTGGCATATTAATGACTAGCAGAGAACTGAAATTCCTATAAAGAGGTAATACTAATGGTGTTTCTCATTGTGTTTCGAATCTTGTTATAGTTCTAAATGGGAAAAATAAGATTGTATTTCTAAAACTCAACTTTAGAACCATTTCTTTGCAGGACCACATCAATTTCATATATTCTAAAATAATTTTCGAAGTTTATTTTTATTAAAATGATGCATCTTTCTAAAGATTTTAAAGAGGGAAGTGATTGCTCTTCATTTTTTTAAAAAGTAAAAATCAAAATCTAGCAAGGTCCCTAACCGGTTTGGCTCAGTGGATAGAGCGTCGGCCTTAGGACTGAAAGATCCCAGGTTTGATTCCAGTCAAGGGCATGAACCTTGGTTGTGGGCACATCCCCAGTAGGATGTGTGCAAGAGGCAATTTATTGATGTTTCTCTCTCATCGATGTTTCTAGCTCTCTATCCCTGTAAAAAATCAATAAAATATATTTTTTTAATCTAGCAAAGGCTTGCTTGTGATTTTGAATAGTTTACTTAATATTTCTAGGCTTTTGATTGAGAAATTATAAAATGACATTTTAGGGAATCTAGTACCATTCAATTTTTAAATTTATGATTCTATAATTCTTTGGATGTGTACATAATGTGGGAAAATACATATTTTAACTTTTGTAATAATTAGGTGGTCAAGAGATTATAATTAAAATTTTAAAAGATAACTTGGGTTGTAGGAAATTATTTGGTTATGAACACAAATTAGTTGTGAACCTCGCTATTTCACAACAGTATTTGACTACATAAAAGTTTATAGCTATCCAATGTAATGAACTATATAGGCCAAACTTTATATATACAATATTGCTCTGTTACCTTAGTCTTCTAATAAAATAATCTTACCAGAGTTTTCCCCTTCCTAAGTGATACCAATATAGCACTTTATTTGCCAAACTTTGCCAGAGTTCAGCATCTCACAAATTATAACAACATAAGTATTTAGCAATAAAATAATTATGAATTAGGCTTGAAACTATTTCCAAAGTAGGTCCCCTAGCCTATAAGGACCAATTCTGTAAACTGGAATTCATCCATAGTAGTGTCAATCTGGCAGGATTTAATGATCTGAGTTTTGCTAGTTATTGAAATTCCTATCACTTATTCAGTTACCTTAAAAATTTGAACTTCTCATCCTAAGAGTCCCAGATTTGGGGGGAGAGGGGGGGGCTGAGATTAGGCCATCAGGTGAGGGCAATTAGGGGTGATCAGGCAGGGAAGGGCAGCAGGGGTGAGCATTTTGGGGTGAGATCAGGCCAGCAGGGGAGAGCAGTTGGGGACAATCGGGCCAGCAGGGGAGCAGTTTGGTGTTAATCAGACCAGCAGGGGAAAGGTTAGGGGGTCATCATGCTGGCAGGCAGAAGCAGTTAGGGGCAATCAGGCAGACAAGCAGTTAGGAGCCAGCAGTCTCGTATTGTGAGAAGGATGTCCAACTGCCTGTTTAGTCCCAATCCCAACAGGCAGTCGGACTTTTCCCGAGGGGTCCCAGATTATAGAGGGTACAGGCTGGGCTAAGGGACACCACACTCCTTCCCTGCAGTGTACAAATTTCACGCACCGGGGTCCTAGTCCTGATAATAAAACCAAATAGCAAAATCCTGAGTGAAAGAGAATACTATATATATACTAAAGGCCCAGTGCACAAAATTCATGCATGGGGGGAGGGGAGTG